ACATACATTTGTGACCAAATGATTTCACACTTTTGACAATTGATAAGATCTTAAATGTCATTATCATCTTAAGTTTAACTCAATTTAATACTGTATTCTCTTAAGGTTGTTGAGTTTATCTTTAAGGAGCAATTTCCTTTATGTGGGACAAGAAATTATTTTTATTATTGTCTATAGCAACAAAATGAGAAAAATAAATTCTCTCTTTCATAAACAATGAGTATAACCCTTTTCCCCCCTTAAACTCAATATCCTTAAGAGATCTTATACATCCCGTCTTTAAAACCATATGTTGCAGTCTTTAGTGCTTCTCTTAAGATTAGAAGCAAAACCTTACTTGTCATTTGACATACTTTGGAGACTCATATCTTTAAATAACAGATAAAGCGGACATGATTCTGTTACTTTTGGAAAATCTATTATGATGTCTCTACTGCAACAATGTGTCATTCTATGGGATAGTAGTTAACTGCGTACTTTTAGTCTTTTCTCGTCTATGTCATTTTATTCCTACACATAGTCAAACATGAGCTGACAAAGAATTCAGTTATCCTTTAGGTTTTGAAACAAACCTTATGTTGACTATAGATATAGAAAGAAAAATCAAACCATATGCACTTTAAAGTTAATAAATCGTAACTTTAGTGCTTAAGCCGAAAGTGAGATTAGACTAATACTGAATGTACTCCTTTATATTTCTTTTCTTTTATTAATAATGAAACAAGATTAGTCAAAACTATACTTGATTCAAACTTCTCATTTTAATAATAAAACGTATCAAAAAAGTGCCTTAAGAAATATTCTAGTGCTTGCCCTATCAATCTTGATGCCGCTAAAGATTTCTTAAATAGTGCACCAAATGATCTTAATACTTATAATTAGAACGATCATATTCTTTAAGTCCCTTTTATCTTAACCTTAAGGAAACTTTAATTCCGAAAAAACTAGTTGTTCGTTCTATTTAAAAGGTAAAATCAAGATCTGTGCACCCTAAATAATAAGTAAATTGTGCTATAACGCACAAGAACCAAAATTAACTTTGACAGATAATACAGAAGCGGAAGCATGAACTAAATAGAGAACATATTCAAGAAGACATGCTCACAACTACTATTATGTCATAAAAATATCAAATTGAATCTATGTATGTATGACATAATTAAACGGAATTGGGTTCATTTATCATAAAATACCTAGCCCAATGTTAACTTGACGTTATGGACGACTCGTTAACTTTTAAGCGGGAACTTTTTATAAATAAATATTGACGGTAAACTATCGTGTCAAACAATAAATCTACCTTAGGGCCAATTTACAGTTCACATGAAATTCTAATAACCGTCACATATTTATTATATATCAACCACAAATTCAAATAAAGGTATATTCCATCTCAAGATATCGGGCACTCCATTAATAACTTATCTTTGGACAATGATATTAACTTGTAAGTGATATCTTGGTGTAGTAATCAAACACTGACAATAAGAGCACATCAAATAATAATTCTACCTTAGGGCCAAACTATTATTCACATGCAAAACACCAAATAATCGCCACGTGTTTACCACCACAATATGCACATGCAATTCAGCAAAGTATTGGCCTTCCTTAGGGCCGACACAATACCCACATTATTACATGCACAAAACCTTTTGTATTTTAAAATAAATTAAGTTTCACAGGAGAGCTCACTTAGGCGAGATGCTGCTTCTCTTAATTCAAATCAAAATACATAAACCAAACCAATATTTGAATTTTAACTGAATTTAAGCCTTTAGACTTTCTCAAAAAAAACAAATTTAGTCAGAGGCCTAATTAAATTACCTTATGAACCCAAATCCCACGTTATTTAGATTTAAAGTCAAAATAAAGTCAACTAGAAATCTTCACTTTATAACCCAAAGATGAACCTAAATCATAAATCGTAAAATTCATATTTGTTTGAATTTGAGATTAAAATAAAATGAGCTCACAAATTCAACCTTATTAGATTTAAAGCCAACAACAAATTTCGGACAAATAAATCCATATTCTTATGAATTTTCACAAAACAATAAAGACTCAAAGTTACAATAAAGTCACGAGTCTACGTGCCAAATATCGATTGGGTCAAAGCTTATTGAGTTATACATGATAACCCATACATATATTGACAAACAACCATTACTTTAATGAGTCAAAACCTATTGAATTATAATAATTCATATCCATAATTTGACTAATTAATCCAAATTTCAATCCAAGAAGACCCGAACTTTAGAAATCTGAAATTCCCCAAAATAAAATGCCTCAGGAAACTAAAATTGAAATTCAAACTGAATCTCACTTTATTGACCAAACAAGTTCTTAAAGAGAATTAAAAATAATTCACTTATTCGTTTGATTCTTCGTAAAACATAAATTTCAAGTGGCCCCAAAAAACCTTAAATTAACTTTTTATTCCTTAAAAAATTGCCCTTGCCCAAAACCAGAAAATCTTTCAACTTAAAGGACTGAATTGAAATTTTGAAAGAAAGCCTTTGAGTGAAAAGGGATCTAAGATTCAGAAATACTTAATTTGGGGGTTAAAAAATATATTTTCTGAATGTTTATCACAGTTTTGAGAGAAACTTTAAAGCTGGGGACTGAAATGCACTTTTCGAAAGCTTTGAGGGCTGTAATACAGATTTTACATTATTTAAAATCGACCCCGGCTCAAAATCAGGAATAACCAAAATTGAAATAATGCTAAATATCTCAAACTTAAACTAGGGGACCAAATTTGAAATTACAGAAACCCTAAATCTGGGGTTAAATTGTAATTTCCCAAAATTCCATTCTACCCAATTTTCTTTCTTCAGACCCGCCGCCACCACCATGACTGTAACCTAAGCAACACCACCGCCGAAAACACACAACTCACAGTTTCTCTCCGTCGGCCACTAAAGATCCCTTATTAGCGAATCCCCGCCGCCAAGAATTGCGAAGGACAATGACTTGCGTTCGCTATATTGGTATGGTGGTGGTGGAACCATAGGGTGCCGAAGGATGGCTTGGCCGGAAAACCAAATCAGCCGCGCATTGATTTACCATTGCGAATTGGAATTTCAGATTTTGCCGTAAAACTTAATTCTTCAATCTTAATTCAATTCATGAGAATTGACTGAAACATAAAAACTTATATCCAAAACGGAATCAATCAATAACAATAGAACAATTTCAAATAATTGAATTGTATATCAGATTCGATTCGCATAAAGAGACAGAGACTAAAATCAGATATGCAATCCAGAAATTAAAACGCATTTAAGATTCAATACTAGCCTAATTTCAGATTCAATGTCCGACCAAAATTCTTACATCTTAATTCAGGATTACATAACACAATTATGGATTCAGATATGATAACAATTTACATAATCAAATCCATAAAATCATATCTCATATAACACCTAAATCCCCGATGATTCAAACATGGTCGGCTCTGATACCACTTGTTGGAATAAACTTGAATAAATTCCATGGAACCGTCATGCCGAATCATCAAGAATATTGTGCATAAACATAAATTGGAAGCGTACCTTACTCCGGTGGAATTGATATAAAACGATCATCGATCTTCCAGATCATCATGTACATCCGAAACCCGAGAACCCTTTAGACTTCTCTTCGTTTTCTGTATATCGATGGTACACATAGAGAATGGAATTCGTACATGTGACCCGGGGACCATGACCAATATATATAGATAACCTAATGGGCTATCTTGTGTAATTTTATTTTAGCCCATCACTATAATAAAATTACCCTAATGGCTCTACACATTAAAGGCCCACACCCTATTAGACACATTAAAGCCCAATCTAGAAAAACTTTAGTCGATCACTTTAACGGGCTTAATCTTACGTGACAGTCTTGCAACACATAATATTTCACATATTTTATCAACTTGTAAATTCTTCCGCAGTTAGTTAAAAGAATGAAATTGACTGATATTATGACGATACTAGGTAGCATAGATATTATTATGGGAGAAATTGATCGTTGAAATGATAATTCATACAAATGAAATGCAAACTATCAATTCTTTTTCCAGATTAGAATTCTTAAAAGAAGTCTATAGCATCATATGGATGCTTGTCCCTATTTTAACTCTTGTATTAGGAATCACACTAAAGATGTTATAGAAAGAAAGAAAGAAAAAAAAATCGAAAAAGTCAACGCCGGAGACCGGCGTTGACCGCCGGTCAATGACGGAAACCGGTGGAGAAAAAATCAGGAAGAAAAAAAAAAAAAAAAAAAAAAAGATCAACAGCGGTGACGGACGAAATTGTCCATAAAAATGTGTTTTTGGTCAAAATTGAATAATTTGTGAAATTTAGGGTCAAATTGAGGTTAGTTAAAGTAAATGATGAAATTGGAGTATATTAAAGTATGATGGGCTATTTAGTTTGTTACAAAAATTTGACCCATGTTTGAATTTTTTTGTAAAAATATTTATTGTGTGGATCTCTTTGTGAATAAGTACCCTTTGATTGACTTATTTATAAACAACCCTTTAATTTAAAGACGTAGGAAAAGAAAAGTAGGAAGTAATTTGACAAAAATAAAATAAATAGGGAGTGAGTTATAATACAACTCAATCTCTTTATTTTTACTAGGATTTTCGACCAATATATATAATGTATGGGTATGCTCAACTCCTCGTTAACTTATTAAAAAAAAAAAAAAAAAACTCCTCTTTAACTTATCAGACAAATCGTTGTTATTGATTTCCTTTTGCCGTTTTCCCTTCGTCTTGGCTGTTGAGGTATGTTATTATTTTATTTTATTTTTTCCTTCCAAGAATGTTTATTGAATGAATTGTTTATGGGTCATGTTAACTGATTGTTTGTCTGATATTTGAGATCATAAATATTTGATAATCCTAGTACGATTTGATTGGTTGTTTATCTTTTGATGAATTGGTATTGATTTTTTTTTCCAGATGAACTCCGTACCTAGAGCCGCGGGCTACGAATACGAATACAATTTCTCGATCAAGGAAGAACTAGTTTCAAAGTACAAACACAGACCGATGCGCAAATTCACAACCCTAATCTTCGAGATCAGAGCCACCTTCATCACAAGGCCAATCGACGGTGAAGATGTGATCATCGACTCGGAGGTATTCGATGGCGTGGTCCAAGACAACAGAAGCAGTGACACCGTTAATACTATTGTACTCATGCAAAGTTCGTTGAGCGTACGTCTCCACGAGTATTGGATGTCTGGTGTCGAACAACGAAGGTTCGAGATCGAGGCGCTAGATTTCGCCAGACGGGCCGCCGCCAATGCGGCTGATCCCAGCCCTCGCCGCGTAGTGCCTATATTTGTTGACCTTAAGGTCATCACAGTTCAGCAAGAAGGCGAGCCCGTTAGGGGAGCCTTTGACCGGGCCCTCAGAGCAGAAAACTTGGTTCCATTTTTCAATATCCCGTGTTCGTACGCTACGTTCACAAAATGGCCCGGTACTCCTCCACATCTTGTACATTTTTTGATGCTTCTAAGGAAGATTAGGGTTGTAGATATTGATTCGGGATTGGCAATGATGAGGGTTTGCGATATTTGTTTGAAGGGCCCGAACATCGGGTCGCAAATATCGAGGGCAAGTTTGTGCCGTCATGCGTTTCATTCCCATTGCTTTGCTCTGTGGTTGTTGAAGGGCAACGAACTTTGCCCTACGTGCAATTCCGTAGCATATAGCATTATCCCTAATTTTGATGATTAGGAATATTTATTTAATAATTCTATTTAATATTTATTTTGTCATTTTTAATGATTCTAATTTAAATTGAGTTGCTTTAACTTTGTGAATTCGAATAAAATCTACGATTCTTGATCATAGAGCTAACTTAGTATCGAACTCGTCAAAACGAGTGCAAAACTTTAGCATCCTTTTCTTGATCGCTAGGCATAGTGGCCCCCAGTTCTTGCAGCATATGAACCAATCTTCGCATCGAAGGGCGGTTAATTGGTAGTGTACTTGTGCAGAGAAGCCCAACATTGATAACCTTGGAGACGTGTTGTTCGAATCTCGAATCTATGTTGGGATCGATCACGTATTTTATCCCTTTCTGGTCCAAGGTTGTCCGGACCCAAGTTGTCAAATCTTTCTCCCCTAATTCTTGATCGATCGCTCGTTTTCCGGTCACAAGCTCAAATAAGACTACTCCAAAGCTGTATGTGTCGCTCTTTTCGTTCACCCGAAGCGTGTATGCATATTCTGCAATGGGATATAAAGAAAATCGACGAATTGTTAGCTTGTTGAATCTATGTACAATTTTGTAACTAAAAGAAAAAAAAATCCAATAGAAATTTTGATTTACTCGTGATGAAAAAACACGGGAAAACGAGCAAGTACCTGGTGCAATGTAGCCACACGAACCAGCAATAACCGACATGGATTCGACTCCGTTTCGGGCCGCTCTAACAACTTTAGCAACACCAAAATCCGAAATCTTAGCTCGAAAATCTTGATCCAGCAATATATTATTCGATTTCACATCCCTATGCACAATAGGAGGTACAGAATCATGATGCAAGTACGACAAACCCTCGGCAGCATCCAAAGCAACCCTAAACCTCGTCTCCCAATCCAACAATTTACCCTTATTATTATTATTATTACCGTGAAGCAAATCGCCTAAGCTCCCATTACACATGTACTCGTACACCAAAAGCTTGCAATTACCCGAGCTACAACAGCACCACAAACGCACGATATTCTTATGCCTAATTTTCCCCAAAGTATTAACTTCAACATCGAATTCATCCATATTCGGTCTTTCGTGCAATTTTTTCACGGCAACCGTCTCCCCGTTTTCCAAAACAACTTTATACACTTCACCGGACGCTCCTCTTCCTATGACATCACTCTCTTTGAGGCAATCGTTAATTTTCAACTCGTCGAAGTTCAATTTGTGAAACGACGTCCACTTTGTGATTATCGCCACTCCTCCTTTCTCCGTTTTCTTTAGATTCTTGTACTTGAACAAGAACCAAACAACCCCACCAAGAAAAGCGAATCCCACTATTACGAAAGTAGACCACATCACCCAAGAAAAGATTCCACTCCCGTTTTCCGTTTTGGGACTGCAAAAAACGGCATCAATGCATAATCCTGGATTTTCAAGAAAGCTATCTTTATAAACCCCGTTTGCGAAAAACGGAGGTATATCACCCGTAAGACTATTGCTCGACAAATTTAGTTTATTGAGCCTCAAATTCTGCAACGACAACGGAATGCTCCCCGAGAAGTTGTTAATAGAAAGATCGAGGTAGTTAAGATCGGGCAAGTTCCCAATTTCATCGGAAATATAACCCGATAATCGATTGTTAGCCAAATTAAGCTCATTCAATTGTTTCATAGATTGAATTCCCATTGGAATACCACCACTTAGATCATTGTTGTTAAGATCGAGCTTCCCAAGTTGAGCCAAATTCACAATGGTGCTAGGAATCTCTCCACTAAGCCGATTATCATGCGCGGAGAATTCGATTAGGTTTTCCAATAATCCAACCTCGTTCGGAATATTCCCCGATAGCTCGTTGTTCGAGATTCTGAGCGTGGATAGATTTTTCGCACTGTAAATTAAATTCGAGATATTTCCGGAAAACGAATTTCCGTAGAGCTCGAGCAAGTAAACGTGCGGCAACCCCCAAAACTCCGCCGGAATTTCGCCGTAGAGCTTATTGCCACCAATCCTCACCCTTCTCAAAGTCTCGCATTTTCCGAGATCCGCCGGAATATTCCCCGAAAACGCATTATCTATCAAGAGAAACTGCTCGAGGGCTCTGTTCCGGCATATAAACTCGGGAATTTCGCCAGAGAGATTATTGTAGGACACGTCCACGATTTGCAGGCGCGAGTTCTTGCCGAGCTCTCTAGGCAAAGATCCCGTTATTTGATTTTGATACAATTTGAGCTCGTTTAAATTCGGTGACTTGGCAATGCTCTCCGGTATCAAACCCTCGAGTTGGTTGTCAAATAAGTTGAGGGATTCCAACGGCAATTCGCACAACTCGTTCGGAATATTCCCGGTCAAATTATTCGAGGATGCATCGAATCTTCTCAATTTCGTCAAATTAGACCATCCATGTGCAGGCAAAGTACCATTAAACAAATTCTCGTAAAGCTCCATTTGAACAATGGTTTTGAGCTGAAAAATCTGAGGAGGTATTGGTCCGACCAGTTTATTTCCACTCACGTCGAAAATCCTGAGTTGACTCAGTCCGCCAAAACTTTCGGGAATGGGGCCCGCGAGGTGGCAATTGCTGAGGAAAAGTTCTTCCAAGTTAACTAGGCCACCGAGTTCGGGGGGGAGGGGACCGGGTGTGAACGGGTTGTACGCCAACCTTAGAATTTTCAGACTTGTTATGTTGCCTAGAGCGGCTGAAACGGTGCCGTTTAGCAGGTTCTCCATGAGTATAAGAGTTTCCAGTCGCCGGAATTGCCCGAAAGTCGCCGGAATTTCGCCTGAAAAATTGTTGCCATCTAAATCAACGTACCTGCAAAGATTGTAATTTAGTTAATCCCGAGCATTTCAAATTTCAAAAAACAAAATAAATAAATAAATAAATTTCCTGCAGTTGAACGTACCTAGATATGTATGAAATATAGTAAAATATATAAAAAAAAAATAAAAAAAAAATTGCCGACAAATTATCTTATATGGTTAAAAATTTGAAGAATTTGGAATATTAAAGTGTCATGCATTTATATATATTTAATTGAAATAAAGAAGGATAATCCTCATAAATGATGACAGAAAATATTGGTCCACCATTAATGGCACTTAATAATTCACTTTCTTCATAATAAAAAACATCATAATAATAGCATCAAACCCCACATCAAAACTGATAAGTTAGATGCTACACCTATTTATTTATATCTTTATTTATGTCTAGTGCATAATTTAAAATAAACTGTAAATTTAATTAAATAACTAACCACTAAGCACACGTACACATGGGTGTGTGTAATTATGTGTAGAGTATTGTTCGAATTCACTCAGTGTAAATAATCAAGTGTAACATCAAGTAAACTGACCATTTTGATTTAATCAAAAAACGAATTGATTTGTTCAAAAAAAGAAAAAAAAAAAAAAAGAATTGATTAATTTTTTTTTTCTCAATTTCGCTAATTTCCAAAGCCTAAAGAAGAAAAACAGGGGAATTTAATTTAAATAATTTTTGTTCCCCTTCTGGGGAATTAATTCAAATGACAGCTAAAAAATTAAACTTACAATTATATATTCCAGCAGAAATCACAGCTGTAATTCGTGAGTTACCTGAGAAAATGGAGGTCGGCGAGGGTTTCGGGGATGGGGCCCACAAGCAAATTCTGAGACAGGTCAAGACGAACGAGGTTGCGGCACGTGGAAATCTCGAGAGGGAGCGAGGAGTTGATGGAATTTGTAGAGAGAGAAAGCGTAGAGAGAGAACGCAGGCGGCACAGAGAAATTGGGAAAGGACCGGAGAGAGAAGCGCCGGAGAGAACGACCGACACGACGGAGCTGCGGTTGTCGCAGGTGATTCCGCTCCATCCGCACGGGGTGGCGCCGGCGGCGCCGCCGTCGGACCAGGTGGAGAGAGAACCGGCGGGGTCGGAGAGAGAGAGCTTCGCGGTGAGTAGGTGGTGGGCCTCTTGGTTTAGAGAGAGAGAGAGGTAATTGAAGGAGAGAAGAAGTAGAATTAATGGAGCTGAGATTTTCAAATGCCTGGCTGCTTTGTAGCTGTTTTGACTGTGAGGAGTGAAAGTGATAATCGGAGGTATTTAGTGTAGTTGGCATACGCTGGGTCGGTAGA